CGTACACACAGCACTGTACGCAGGGCTAACAATGAATATGCTCAAAACATCAAAATAGTGAAATTAAATGTCAGTGAAAATAAATGGTTTTACAGTAGTATGGCAGGATTTGTAATTTGTTTAAATATTTTGAAAGACAAATTTTACAAATTGCACATTTTTAAAAGTGAAAATTTAGACACACAGTGATCATTTCATAAATTATCAGATTGCTAACATTTGACAATTTGTATATAATATTATACATGTTCCTGGTCCAACCCGATTTGCACTTTATTTTGAAACATCCACCATCTTGAAAATACTCTTGATGCAACAAAGGCATTTCCTTTCATCTTTAGAAATATTTATAAATTTCACAATTCAAACTGAAACGAGGGGCTTCTATTGGCTGATCAAATAACATTGGCACGTTTTTTAAACAGGGTTGTTGTTGCTATGCTCATTAATTAGCAGTTGAATCAAAATTCATGAATATTTATAAAGATGAAATGCCTTTGTTGCACCAAGAGTATCACATCACTCTTCTGCATTCAGTTTTTCCTACAAAAATAAAACAATAATTTACTGTACTTCATATTACTTACATGTACGTCTAGAGCTGTCGTAAAATTGTTTTCTAATATAACTATTATGTCTGTTTTTTTAGTTCTACATATTTCAGCGGCTCAGACTGACAGCGATAAATTCATAGACATAGACTCTTACATACAGTACTTCGGGGTGGCTAATGCTGGTCAGAATCCACTCCAAGGAGCGGAAGATCTCCTGGAATTCCGCTTTCAATATTGTAATGATCATGGAATGTTGATATACCAGGAAGGTGCCAATGGATTTACGGGATATTTCCTGGCAATTGGAGTCAACAGCGGGCGGATCTACTTGGAGTGGGTGGTTACATCAAATACTTTGATTGAGGTGTGTATTTTAATACTTACTTAAGTGTTTGAGTGAAACCTGTCTAAACTAAAGACGCAAGAACCTACAAAAATAGTTGAGTTTTCAGAGGGGTTCAGTTTATAAAGTTATAAAAATTATAATTAATTTGAGAAATTGAATATAGTGAAAATGAGTCATTCAGTTATGGGGTTGACCATTAGAAACATGACAGAAAAGGAATATTAAAAAAGAAATTGCATGGGGAATAAACAAATTCTATATTTATATTTATTAAAAAAACACACTAACAGAGGAAAGCAAAAAAAATTAACTTCATCATGAAATAAAAATCTAGCATAAAAAAAATACAAAAAAATAATATATCTTCTCTCCCTGAGTTTCTAATGATGGACATCTACCGGGTAATAAAATTATTATACTAGTAACCAGTTTTTCCCAGGTTTCAAAACTGCTCAGAAATGTTTAATAAGTTAATTATTACCTTCATTAACCAATAGGACATTTGTTGCACAGTTTTCTAGGAGCATGATTAGATCATGCAAGGTCATGCAAGTGAATCAATAATGGTAGTTTTGTAGGATTAAAGAGACATTCTCAGGGGGCAATTATATTTCACCAAGGGCAGCAAGGTGCAGATAATTGTGCTATGTTAAAATGAAAGTAGTTTTATAATCACTATTTTTTTTTAAATTTATTCAAAAATTACCCTTTTTCAGCTCTACATTGGAGATGGGAATCTACAACCAAACACATTTTACACGGTGGGGCTGTACAACTTAAAAGGGCCATTTCAAAGTACTTTTGCGTACATCAATGGCCTTCCAGCAACGGTGGATTTCCTGACTCCTGTTGACATGGGTGGACTTGATATGGATCAGTTGCTTGGTGATTTATTCATCGGTGGATATCAAGATATCAGCGAGCTTAAGGCAAGTAAATCAAAACGGTGTTCATGCTTGAATTAATTAATCCATGTTTTAAAGCAATAAACCGTTACATTGTCACTTTGAGCAATGTTCATGTTTTGAGCAGCTAGGAGGGTTTGATGATTAGAAATTTGGAGGGGTCAAGAAAAAATAAACTGAAAAAATAAATCTTACAAGAACAATTATGGTTATAAATATATACTGTATTAACTCTATTAAAATTGCATCGCAAATAGAAGTGCATATAAACCAAAAATCACATTTGTTGTTATACAAAATAATTAAAATATTACTTAATTTGTCCATAGAAAAATCTCTGTAATTTACTAAATTAATGCGCTACAGTGTAAAAAAATCTCTGACACATTTAATGCTGAAAAATTAGGTAAAACAAGAATGTTGAATCAACATCAAACTAACATGGTTATCTTTCTCAATACTAAGTATGAATAATTTCCACAACTATTTTATCCCCCTCCCGGAATTGGAATGATCGACCTATGAGTGTACAATTTCATGGAAGTAACTATCACTCCATGTCTAAAAATATTACAATTGAATTGAAATTTTGTGTATTTTTTATATTTAGAATTGTTCCCTGACTCACTGTTGGATTTTGTTTTAGGGTCCCTAATAGAAGTCACACCCATTCTCTTCGAACAATTGCGAACCACAAATTCATCATTTCTCATATGTGTAGATGCTCTAATAGAAGCCGCATCCCCTTTGTTGTATTGTACCATTTTAATAGAAGCCGCAGCTTCTAATACAGATTTCATTCATTTCAAATTATTTTGTATACATGTAAATTTTCTTACCATATTATCATGGTAACTATCACTATTTTAAAAAAGCAGATTCAAAAAGTCTGTGTCTATAACAATATCATTTATATTATTGAATTTTGTTGCCAGGTAAACACAGAGAGGTTGAATGGTTACCTAGTTACGTGTCTGGACTATATACGGAGCAGCATCAATACGCTGGACCTGAATGCAGCAGATGTCAGTCTTGGTGTCAAAGATGGTTGCCCTAGCGACTTCTGTGCTCCGCCATCAACTGTCACACTCCAGAGCAGTACATCGTTCATTTCAATGAACATCCAGCTACCACCGAAAACAAGAACAATAATTAGTCTACGATTCCGAACAATGTAAGTTATATGATACTATGGTTGACTTTATTTCAGCTGGAAATTATTTCTGTTTATTTCACTAATTTGTAATGAAACTCAGACGAACGATAGTAAAAATATTTTTTCTCACAAAATTTATTTCAGTTGATTGATGTCAAAAATAAAATAACTTCCTAGTGAAAATAAAAAATGTTACTTTAAAAACTAAAACATCTTAGACCACCCTAAAAACCATGTGTTGCAGCATATCGAACATGACACTGACACGATAACTGTACATGAGCCTCTATATCGAACACGACACTGAACAATGACTGTGAATCTCCATATTGAACATGATGTGGCTAACAACTAATATTTCTTTTCAGAAGATTTGATTATTCAAATTACAAGTTTTATTTGTTTTCTGTTCCACAGATTCTGTAAATTATACAAATGCATATCTAATCATTGTTAACACAATATAATATTTTTTCTCTACAGGGCTTTGAGAGGAATGTTATTTTATTTTGGTGGTCCTGCTTACTTGACAGTATACATGGAGTCTGGACGCTTGATTCTCGGTCTCAATACGAAGGTAAAATTTTTTCTTATATTTTGCCTAAATCGAATTATGCAAATATATACACATATATAGCAAATAAACACCAGTGTATTAATTATTCCTTGTTTAAAGACCAGTGGTCATCCCACAGCACATGTTTGAATTTTGTGTAAATAATGTTTTTCGCACACACTGGTTACGTTGCTGTGAGTCTCATATCAGAACAGGATTTCCATGGTTTAGCAATCTGATGGAACCATGATGTTACTTGTTCCTGTCTTTGTGTTTACTTTAGACTTGGTGGTTGTCATGCCTTCAACAAAAAATAGCAAAAATAAAGTATTTCAATGTAGAATATTTTGTTAATGGTCCCATGAAAGCAAGAGACAATTTTATCTTGATATATAGATTTTCTGGTATTATCTGTCAATCTGATCCTAATTTTACAGCATTATTTTTTTTTCTTTAAATTGCAATCTGGTGAAGATTAATCAATATATAGAACTGTGATAAAATGTGTTATTTGGTCAAAATTCAACGTTTTGTGAGAACAATTAATTAAAGTCTAAATATGTTCTCTCGTACACAGGGGAGCGGGGCAGGTGCTTTTTCAGATCCAACAGCAAGTAGCAGCTATAATGATGGAACATGGAAGTACATCAAAGTCATTCGAGAAGGAAATATCGCCAGAATGGAAGACGAGTTTGGTACACAACTCACATCAGTAATTTACAGTAAGTAAAAAATCTTGGATCCATTTTTCAAAGTTTAAGTTCTTCTGCGCATGCGCCAACCAAACACCAGTTTATGAAATAAATTATGGTCAGCAGTCCCTGACTGCTTTAACCTTATTCTTTGTTTATCGTTTCTTTGACTTAGCCTAGTTTTGACAGTTCATTTAAATGGAATTTCCATCTACTCGGTAATTTGTAAATCAGACTTTTAACAATATATTTGTTTCTTCCATCAGCTTCTACTACCGGCACAGCACAAACATTAAATGCAGCAGAGTTAATGCTGGGTGGTGTTAAACTCACGAGTAGCGTGACACAACCGTTTCCCATCGCTGGCTTAACGTCTCTCAGAGGATGCATTATGGAACTTCGCTTCATTGTCTACAGCATCTCTCCTGAACCACCTGAACTCTTGAACTTTGACACACAGGTCAAAGAGGAAAGGTCAGTTCTTGTTTATTGTTTATTTTTTAAAGACAATTTTAATATGTCGCAAATATCAACTAATTAATCTGCTGAAAATATAATTTATTGTTAATATTGATTGTGGCTTGTTACAAATTAACAAACAAGAAGCACACATTACGTAGATGAAAACCAGAATAATCTCAAAAAAATCATCCTGAAAATAATCTAGCTTAGGGACGACGTCAAAAGATCGATGTCGGATAAAAAACTTAATTATTTTAGTTTGTTTCTAAAACCCCCCACCCCCCACTGAAACTTAATTGATAAATATTGGTCATAGCGTCAGACTACATTCACCATTAAATACAAATTGATAATCGGACAGTAGTATCATAGCAGTTGGTTGTCGGGTGGGTGTAAAAAGACTTTACAAATGCACCTCATTTGACGCACATATTTACACTCGAACCAAACCATTTTCTTGTCTTGGATGTTTGTTTTTTTCCTTTTCGGTTATTTATGTCCATGATTGGATAGAAAAAAAATACGAACTACAAATACTCCAAGATTTGTTTGACTTCATTAAAAAATAAAATCGTTTTTGTAAGATGGAAACTTTTTGAGGTCAAAACCCCCCACCCCCAAACTAAAGCAAATAAGTTTTTTATCCGACATCGATCTTTTGACGTCGTCCCTTAGATCTACCCTCCCAGATTTAAATTGATTTTACAGTTATCACACATTTAATTTTCAGTGTGGGTCCCATGTGATGTAAACAATGTGTTTACATTATTTGTGCTATTAGAAAGCAATGTGATGTTTTATAAAATATATTTTTGATATTCACATTGTTCATAAGTCACTAATTTTTGGTTTCAAGTAAAAAAATTAAATTCTCTAGATTATTTCAAATAATAAAATATTTGAACAAATTTCAAATATAATCAACAGAATATTGAGAAATGTGAAATCAGTCATCTTGAAAATTAACAATTATCAGTTAATTTAAAGCAGGAGGGTTGTCATCTGCGCACATTGCGGGAATTGAGTCCTAAGCGACAATAACAACAAACGCTAAAAGCGCAAAGGCTCATGGGTAGATGCTTGTTTGTAAACTATGACACGCTATGGCCATCTGACGCATGCACAGGTGACGACTCCCCCACTTTAAGTTTATTCAAAACAAATTGACAAAATCTTAGTTTGTTTGTCAATTATTTTAATATTGGGTATTACCACAGTTGGATTGCAATTCAATTTATAATAAAAACAAATATTACCTGTTATAATCATGAAACAGTATATATAGCGCCACCTATGGCCAATCTTCTAAAATCCTGTGTATAGAGGGCGCTGTTCTTACTACTGCAATTCTGTATTTGTGTCTGCATGTTTTCTCAGGGGTGTATCACATGGAGGCTGTTTTTCTGACCAAGTTTGTGAACCAGGTTGCTCCTCGCCATCCCAGTCATGCAATTTCATCTGCGAATGCGGCCCAGGATTTTATACATTCAATCCATCTCCTTTAATCTGCTTCAATATTGACGATTGCACACCGAATCCATGTCTGAACGGTGCTACCTGCGTCGATGCCATACAGGATTATTCATGTCTTTGTACCATAGAGTATAACAAAGGTAATATATTCAGTTTCTCTTTTATACCGTAAACAATTCTTGTTATTAAAACTACATTAATTGACATTATAGACAAGACCAGTTTAAGATTTGTCAAAAACCCAGTTCTTTAAATAGTTTTAAAGAGAATCCTA